GTAGCAGGGTCAGCACACATCCCAGGTCCCAGCAGCCCGCCTCCAGTACTGAGCTCTGAACCCCGACTTGTGCCTTGTGCCGGGCAGAGGCAGCAGCTCAGACCCAAACAAGGGATGCGACAGAGCAGGCCTCATCACATTGTGAATCTAATAATGTAAATGAGGTTCATCATCTCAAATAAGCAAAACATGAAAACGAACACTTAATGACATCAAGTGGACATTTAATCAACACCCTTGGTTTCCCCCAACACTCTCAAGTAGAAGGAATAAGGATATCCAAGCCAAATTTCAAGGAATACAATCACATCCATAATCCGAAAACACTAATGTTCCACTATTCTAATAAGTCAAATACGCTATGATGAAGTATTAAGAAAATAAAAGGAGGCAGCCATCCTCCACTGCACTCCCGGGCCACAGCAGAGGGCTGGCCTGGAAGAGGGGCAACCGGGACAGAATCCGGCGCCCCGACCGTGGCTCAAGTACTGGAGTCCCTGCGCCGCTAGGCGGAGGATTAGCCTAGTGAGCCGCGGCGCCGGCCTGTTTTGCTTTTGAAAGGCATAGAGACAGAGGTAGAAACAGAGACAGAGACAGAAACATCTGTTGCCTGCTGGTGCATTCCCCCAAATGCTGGCAATAGCTGGGGCTGAACCAGGCTGAAGTCAGAAGCTGGGCACTCCATCCAGGGCCTGCATGTGGATGGCAGAAACCCAGCTGCTGGATTCATCGCCACTGCTTCCCAGGGAGTGCGTTAGCAGGAAGCTGGAATCAGGAGCAGAACCAGGCCTGGATTCGAGGCCCTCTAATGTGGAATGCAGGTGTCTCAAGTGGTGTCTTACCCTCCACACCGAATGCCTGCCTTAGCTTTTGGGTTTTGAGCCATGTGCAATTATTCCTCATGCGTGTAATGAAATCTGGCTTCTTGGTGATGTCTGGGGGGCATCTACTGAAGATGGCTGGGCCCCTGCTGAATCCCCAAGCCGAGCATGCGCTCCCTGGCCCCGTCTCTCTGGACACAGTTGCTCTGAGCAGCTGTTGATCTGACACAGACTCAGTATGCATTTTGATTTCTGGGTATCCATCTCCTATTCAGTCTCACCCATTTCCAAATAAAATCTGTAGCATTTCCCCTAACTCGTTCAGTTCAATGGTGTTCATTTGCTTTGTTCTGGTTTTTTTTGCAGGATCCAAGTGGACCTATGTTGGTAAGTAGCAATTTTAAATACTTTTTAAGGAGATGGCTTCATTTGATGAGGAACCTGGAGACTGCCTGCTCCGTGGGGGTGGGGGTGGGGGTGGGGGTGGGGGTGGGGGTGGGGGTGGAGGCTGTGCTCAGGTTGCTGAAGTGGATGCAACAGTGTCTCCAAAGAGCAGTTCTCTGCCGGTTGCATACCGCACTTTCTCCAAGCTGATGATTCTGCTCTGTGCACTTAACTGTGAGTCGCGATGTGAAAGCTGCACAATCCTTGGAAGATTTTTTTACCTCTAGACTGCAAAAGCCCTGGGCAGGAGAGCGCCCTTCTCCCTTGAAGGACATTTGTCCTACGAGAAACAAAGAATAAAGGGCTCCTTTCTGAAAGTTTGGCTCAGGCCCCGGAACTTAAGCTGTCAGTGTGTCTAGAACTGACTTCCTGTTGCCATGTTTCTGAATGGGGTGCTGGAGGAAGAGGTAGTGGCCAGTCTTCAGCTTCTTAACATGAAGCATGTGTGTCCCAAGGGATTTGTGAGATGGGTCGGGAACAGGTCAGCACCTCCAGCAGGCCTGCAGGCTAAGCAGCTGCACGCTGGTTCAGCTGGAGGCTCACAGCGAGTTGGAAATGTGGTCACTGGCTGGGGGTGCAGGTGGAGAGAGGGGTGCCTGGGGCCTCTGGCAGGCACAGGCACCCCAGTGATGTCTCATAGCAGTGGAGTCACAGAAGACGCACTGGACACATTGTTTTGGCACACAGGAGGGGAGAATGGTGGAAGTGTGCCACCACAGTGAAAGCCAGACAGAGGTCTGATTTGCAGAGATTGGCCTTTGGATGTTCCTTAGCCTGGGAGGCACGGAAAAGTCGCTGAACCGACCAGCCAGCTGCCCGTGGCCCCAGGTCTTGTCAGCTCCAGCCCCGTGAAGTTTGGCTGTTACCAATGTACCTTGCGGGCTTATTAGGTACAGGCACTTTGCTGACTGGGTGGGTAATTAGGAGGGCAGGCTGTGGACTGTAGCTGGGAATTAATTACTTGGAGCTCATAGTTCAAAGCAAGATATAAGACGAAATAATAACGGAGAATAAGTAATTGGTTCCGTGCCCTGCTTGCTCAGAGGGGATGAGAGGGCTGGGGCTGGATGGTTCAGGAAGGCTTCCCAGAGGGGGAGGGCTCTCCCCTCCATGGGCCTTGGGAGATGGGGAGAATTTCGAGGGTGGGGGGCAGTGCTGCTGGCCAAAGGGATGATGGTGTCACATGAGCGGGGGGAGGGGGGGCGGGGGGGACAGGGAAGGAGGAGCAGGTGGTCTCTGAGGGAGGCAGGAGCAGAGGCTCTGAGGGCAGACACCCGGGCTGGGCAGGGGAGGCCCAGGCTGTCCCACTACGTGGACGGGCCGGGCAGGGAGGAAATCTGTGTCTCAGGAAGAATAAGGCAGGGATAGGGGGTGGAGGGAGGCAGGAAGGTGTTTGGCCTTGGCAGGAGCCCTAGCCTGTGTGTTCCCCTCCAGCTTACAGGGCGGGAGACCTGGTAGGAAGTGGCGGCAGAGCTGGGAGAGCATGCAGGGGAGGTGGCAGGCATGGAGGGACGGTGGGACTCAGGTGCTAGGCCGTGCTCTGTGAGCGCCTCGGGAAGCCCTCGGGGCCTGCTTCCCTTTTCTGTACCTGGACGAGGGTGTGTCTCCATGGGAGTTCCTCAAACTGCAGCTGGGGGTCACCTACGTCAGAATCACCTGGAATATGTTGCAAAATGCAGATTTCCAGGCCTTAGCCTGGACCTGGGGGAGGGAGGGAGCCTGAGAAACCTGCATTTCTAAAACATTCCCCCTACATGTAACTTTCAAAATGTTTACTTTATTTTTTTAATTATTTGAAAGGCAGAAGGCTGCAATGATCAGGGCTGGGCCAGGCTGGAGCCAGGAGCCAGGAACTCCATCTGGGTCTCCCACATAGTGCAGGGGCCCAAGCACTTGGGCCATCTTCTGCTGTTTTCCCAGGCACATTAGCAGGGAGCCAGATCAGAAGTGGAGCAGCTAGAACTCGAACTGGTGCCCATATGGGATGCTGGTACTGCAGGCGGTGGCTTAAGCCACTGCATGACACTGTAGCCCTCCTCACCTCCACCCTCCATGCTCACCCCAAGGGACTCTTGGGCACATCTGTGAGAACATCACTGACCTGATGGCTCTCAAGAGCTTTCTAGCCCAGGAGTCAGAGGGTCGCCCCGTGTCTGCTACCACAAACACAAGCCAGGTGTCTGTAGGGCTCCCTGGCTCTGTTATAGCCCCAGGGGACCAGAGGTGCTGTGGACACTCCTGTGTGGCTATGCTAGGGCTCCCTGGGGGTGGGCTGCTCTGCACAGGAGCCCTTCTCCCTGACCTCAGGCCCCCCAGCCCTCCAGCCTTCCTGCCCTGCACGAGCAGAGCCACTCTGCTGAGGAGGCAGAGGGCAGAGTCTCCGATACAGGGACGTGCACGGGGTCAGCACAAAGGCCAGGCTGGTGTTTATTAGTGAGGTGGGCACGCAGGATGTGCCGTCAGCCCGCAGTGGGGACGAGGGGTGGAGAGCAGATGGAAGATAGCTCAGGAGGCAAACAGGTCCAGGCTGGCACCTGGCACCTGGGCTCAGCATGCACAGATAAACAGAGGGCCCAGCAGAGGTGCTGGGGGGGAAGCGGTTTCCAAACAGTACAAGCTGCGCTGGATGGGGCAAGCCCGACCCAATGCCACCTGCTGCTTTTCCCAGAGCACAGAACTCGGCTTCTCTGCACGTAGACACTGCTGAGTCACCCTGCTCCAGGGCCTCCTGCTGCCTGGTGCACGTGGTGGGGCTTCTAGAAGTATAAGGAAAGGGAGCCCCCCACCCCCCTGGCCTTGAGTCACCAGCCGACCTCACGGGTGGCGGCACCCCCAGAGAGGAACATCTGACAGCTGAGATGGGCCCAGCCCTGCCCCTCAAGCAGCAACCGTGTGTGTGTGTGTGTGTGTGTGTGTGTGTGCGTGTGTGCTGGCTCAGTCACAAGGGCAAGGAGGACAAGGAGATGAAGCAGGGCCCTCCCTGCTGGAGATCAGCCCCGCAGCCATCCTGAACCGGAGGGCAGCTGCAGGCCAGGCTGTCATGTGAGCCGGGGACAAACTCCTGCCCGCTAAAGCTGATCTAAGCTGCTGAAAGGCAGAGAGGCCTTGCTGGGCGGGGGGGTGACGGGGAGGCGCGTGCTGGTCAAGTTCGCGTCCTGGGCTGTGCTTTGTGAAAACGCGTCAAGCTGTTTACGGCTGATGCAGGCACTCTTCTGTGTGTCATGTTATACTCCAGCAGGGAGCTCACCGATCCCGGCTGGCTGGGACAGTCACTCTTGCCCTGACCCTGTCTTCGTACCTCAGAACGCAGAAACGCAGTGTGTCCAAAACAGCAGAGCAACCAAAGAAGCATGAGGGTCTTGGAACTAATGGCCAGAGGACAATCCCCCCCGAGCAGAGGCAGGCACGGCGTGCCACCCCGATGATCTTAACCCTGGTCTCGTGGCCTCACGTGTGAGCAAGCTCAGAAACAGGCAAATCCCACTGTTTGCGCATGACCGGGGACACGTGAGACAAACCCTAAGGGAGCTGGACGGCAGAGGAACCTGGGCACGTCCCGCCTCCAGGGGGCGACCACGAGACCATCCCAGCAGGGCACTGTGGGGAGATGGCAACCTGGCCCGGCTGCACGGCCCTGGGCGATGGCGGGACTCCGCGAGACCCACACGCTGCCTTGTGCCACCTCGTGCTGCTGTGTCTTCTCCGCCCCTCGGTTCCTCTCCCAGACGACAGATTCTCGGTCTTTAAAGACGTCCCTGTAGAAAGTAGGACAGGCTCATCTGTGGGGGCAAACCCCGTTCTCTCGCCCCCCTACCCAGGTCCTCCAGGCCCGGGCCTCCACCTGCCCCTGCCACGGTGTTAAGTTCTGCACACCCTCTCCAGCCCCTCCCCAGCAGGAAGAACTGGAAATGGAGTGCACGCACGAGCTCTTTGCTTTCTGCTCTCTTTGCTCTTTGCTTTAGTGGTGCTAAAGGCACCACATGAGCTGCAGAGTAGAAAGCAGGCCTGGGTGGGAGCTATGGGAGCATTGAGAGGAACAGTGGGGGAGCTCGTGCAGTGACAGGGCTGGCACCCATGGATGCTCCTGCCTTGGCAGAGGTGGGGTCGTGTAGCCCGAGCTGCCAGCCTGAGGCTGAGTGGGAGGCACAAGAAGTGGCCAGCCATGTGTTTCCTGCCAGGGAACTCAGTCTCCAGGCCCCCTGTCTCAGGGATTTCCCCGGCGGCCAGCAACCCAGCCCCCCGAGGAATTCATTAAATCTGGGCTTCAGTTCTGGCTACTTCTAGCGCAAGTTGTGACATCTGTGCTGTGCACACCCGCGGAGTTGCAGGATCGGGGGTTTGTGTGTGTCCTGGGGGATCTTGGCCTGTGGCTGCCCACACGCCTGTAATGTGGGGTGCCCAGCGCACCGCAGCAGCTGAGCAAACAGCGTTAGTTCCTGAAGACAGGGCTAGTGGCCTGGGGGCTGAGGCAGAAGGAATGTGGTGTGCCCAGAGCCCAGGCCCAGGCAGACCCCCGTGGACACAGCTGGCCGGATCAGGCTGGCTGGCCTTAGCAAAGTAATTTTTCCATGCCTCTGTTTCTTAGCTACAAAGTGGGAGTGGTCACGGCGCCTCAGGGGTTGCCAAAGCGTGGTCTCTGGACTGGCAGCGTGAACATCGCCTGGGCTCCACATGCCACTGTTGGAAGTGCACGTTCTCCACCTTGTCCCGGGCCTGCTCACTAATCAGACACTCCGGTTTGCTTTGCTTCATAGGCTTGTGGTGAAGCTCAACAAGATCAAACAAGGGCAGGCGCATGGCAGAGCAGCAGGTTAAGCCTCTGCTCCGGACGCCCTGTCCCGTATCAGCAGAGTGCGTGGGATGGGGTCCTCCCTCTGTTTCCCATCCAGCTCCCTGCTAACGCACCTGGGAGCTAGTAGATGATGGCTCAAGTCCTTGAACCACTGCTACCTACGGGGGAACCTGGATGGAGTTCCTGGCTCCTGGCTTAAGCCTTGCCCTGATTTCTGAGGGCACTGGGGGAGTGAACCAGCAATGGAAGCTCTCTCTCTCCTTCTCTTTCTGTCATTCTGCTTTTCAAATAAATAACAAGCAAGGCCCTATTTAGTGGTTCTAAGACACTCACCTTCCCCCAGATTTTAGCACCTCTTTAAGTGGGACACATTTCACCATCAGTGGCACCTAGAAGCAGTAGATATGGGGTCTGGTCCATGAACCAGCATTGAGAAGCTGACACGATTCGTTTCAACCGGTAAGGAGTGGTGGCTGGCTGCGCCCTGGGCAACGAGGCATGCAGGAGTGATGGGAAGTCAGGTTCGATTTTCAATTATAGCTCTTCCCAACTTCCAATCAGTTTATGGTTTACATACAGGCTTTCGTGGGGTTGGGTCACTATCTCAAGTACTTACAAGCAAAGGCACTTAGGCACGATGTTTTTGGTGGACGCAAGTCCTCTACGGAGTAACCGTTCCCAACCGCCTGACCGGAATTCCATTTGTGCCAACCAGGAAGGAACAAACACCAGCCGCCACCTTTCCTTAGTGTCTGTAAAGGTTGACTCAGGGCTGGTATAACCCTGAATGAAACGGTTTGTTTAGCTCACCTTCAGGTTCTAAATGATTTTGCAATCACGTGATGAGATCAGCTGTGCGACTTCCGGGTGAGATGGGGGAGTCGGTCCACTGGCCAGCAGGACACCTGCGGATTCACGGCAAGAGGCCCACGCTGTCCCCTCTTTCCGGGGTGTGTGGCCAGGACGGGGATGAGATCTGCTTATTGCAGGCTGTGGTGATGTTGGCAAATGGGGGAGGGAGGGACCCGGTGTTTTCGCAGCCTCCTTGGCACTCCCTCTTCTGGAAGCTGCGTGAGAAGTGGAGAAAGGAGGGAGGTGACTCTCAAGGTTGCGGAACAAAGGTGTTTTGTAGAGTGAGGCAGTCATGCAAATGACTATTTACCCTTTTGGCTTTGGCCACCAGGAAGCCCAGGAGCAAACTGGAGGCCCCAACTTGAGTGAATGTCTGTTCTCCTGTGGTCCGCAAACCTCAAGAACCCCTGGGTGTTTGTCCTTGATCCTGAGCTAAAATCTGATGGTGACAAACAGATCTTCAAGGTTTTACTTTAGAACAAGCCCTTAGAATAGTGGGTCCCACTTTCTCACCATGCTCCTATTCTGCCCCTTCCTGAACTGCCACAGATAGACTGTGGTTTAAAAAGTTTCAGTAGTTCAAAGTGTCCCATTTGTAATTGATCAAAACAGATGTAAAAACCGGTCACAGTTTTCAATTCACCTGAGATGACTGGTGCACATTCATCTCACAGATTTGTTTCTAACAAATTGTTTGTTCGTTTGAAAGGCAGAATGACACACAGAGAAAACCTTCCATCCACTGGTTCAGTCCCAAAATTACCTGAGCGGCCCAGGCACGGTCCAGGCCGAAGCTGGGAGCCCAAAATTTCATCCAAGTCCCCCACATGGATGGCAGGGGCACAAGCTCTTGGGCCACCCTTCTCTGCCCTCCTAGGTGCGTTAGCAGGGAGCTGGATCTGAAGTGGAGCAGCTGGGACTTGAACTGGTGCTCATATGGGATGCCAGCACTGCAGGCAGACTTAACCCACTGTGCCACAATGCCAGCCCCTTCTCAGATATTTTTAAAAGTGAATTCTAAGTGCCAAATGTCAGACTAAAGAACTGGACAAGCACTGGTGCTAAGGAAATGAGACGAGGGGGCGTGGTCCCTACGTTTATGGGACTGAGATTCTGGGGGAGACAGCAAGTAAGCAGAGCCTTAGGATACAGGGGAGAGACCTCACTTCCAGTTCTGGGGAAAGGATTGGAGGAGGCTCCCTGGAGGAGGTGATGTTCCAGCTGAGACCTGAAGGACACCTACGAGCTAGGCAGGCAACCTGTGCAGTGATCAGCCAGGGAGCTGCTGTGTTCTGGGGATTGCCACGGACCTCAGCGAGGAGGCCAGGGGCTTGGGGGAGGGCCCAGGGCTGCAGCAGAGTGTGGGCAGCCCATGAGCCAGCGGAGGAGGCCAGATTTCCTTCCAGAGGCTGGATCATTGAGGCAGGAAACTGACAGCACAGATATCATTCAGCCGGAAACGGAGATGCCTGGTGTCATTGGCTGGTGCAGCCTGGCAGGCGGTGAGTGCCCCATTTGTTCAGGGCTTCACAGGTATTCACATGGGCGCTCAGACTGCCCTTACCGCCGAGGTAGGGCCCGGGGAGGCGGGAGTGGATGCCAAGCCCTGCCCTCATCTACAAATGAGCCCAGAACTTGGAGCTCTCGGAGGTCCACAGCAGAGAGCAGGAGGGGCAGAGCCAGAGTGGGCCTCCTGATTCCCACCTGATGGACTTTTATTTTATACCAGGCATTCAGTGCCCCGCACAACACATCACGCCATTGAGGAAATGCAGATTTTTTTTTTTCAGAAAGTAAACAATGTAAAATTGGCAGGAACAAATTATGCCACCTTCCTCCAGATAAAAGGCTTAGTGGTTGAAGAAACACAATAGACCTAATGCTTGTTGACATAAATAAACACTGGATAGGGTTGGTTGTGACACACTCGTGGGAAATGGGGACCAAGACTCATGGGGTTGCTGGGGGTGGGGGGAAGTCAACGGAATTCACTCCTCTTTGCTGTGGGCAGAACCCAGCCGGGACAGGTGTCCAGGGCCCTAGGACAGTCCTGGATCAGTGCCCTTCGTGGAGGGATAGGGAGAGGATGGTGGCTGAAGGGGCATGTGGATTGCAGCTGCAAAGGGGGCAGTGGAAGTGAGAACAGAGTAGAGGACACGCTCAGTGCAGAAAGCCAGGGAGGTGGGTTAGGACTGGCCTGCAGGCCTGGCAGGCAGCGACCTCGTGGGGCCACCTTGGATGACCACAGCCCACTGGAGGGAAAGAGCCTCTTTCCAATGTTGGAATCCACGCAAAACTGTTTCATAATATGTGTTTTTCATGAATTTTGTGGAGACCGCTTTGCAGCCATGGATTTCAAAAAATTTTGCACCAACATAAACTTATCTTGTAATCCCATTTTCCTGTGAACCTCGTGATGCACCCTGGCGTGTGCACTGCCAGCTCCCTGCTAGGAGCTGTGCTTGGGTGACGTTGTAAAGTGACTTACCAGATTTTGTAGCTGGAGCCAGCTGTGTGCAGAGCCGCTCCCACCCCAGAGATGCGATGTCAGGAGGAAGGCAGGTGGGGAAAACCATCCAAAGCAAGTTTTTCACCATAAGGGAAATAGCTGTAAAAACCAGCCAGAATGCTACAGGTTAGCTGTCAGAAAGGACTTCCCGTTGTCAAAGCTGAGAAGTGCAGCATTGGGTCAACATCAGGTCAACTTTAGGGCCCCACCCTAGGGACTGGCAGAAAGTTCCAGTCTTTTATCAGATCCCCTCTGGTTATTCCCATTCCCCCCCAGGGAAAGTTTACAAAGTCACCAATCCCTCCATAGCTGCGTCTCCCCTTCAGCTCAGGAGCCTGGAGCAGGGCTCATCTGAGGGTCACCCCTCAGCACCTGGGAACTCTGCCTGTTGCCCTACTCTGCACTCTCCAGAGCCTGTCGGGAGGCTGCTGTGGTGAGCATGAGCTCAGAGCGCAGTCTCCCTACTTTGTGGCGATGGGACTTGGGGGTGTCCTATTGAGTCTCAGCCCCCTGCCCTGTGTCACAGTGTTGTTATGCAGATTAAGGTAATTAATACATGTTCAACACAGGGGACAGGACTTGGTAAACCATGGCCCACCATTGTGTCTGCAAATACAGTTTCTTTTTTATTTATTTATTTTATTTGAAAGGCAGAGACAGAGAGAGAGGTCTTCCATCCACTGGTTCACTCCCCAAATGGCCGCAATGGCCAGAGCTGGGCTGATCTGAGGCCAGGAGCCAGGAGCTTCTTCTGGGTCTCCCACGTGGGTGCAGGAGCCCAAGGACTTGGGCCATCTTCTACTGCTTTCCCAAACCATAGCAGAGAGCTGGATTGGAACAGGTGCAGCGGGGACTTGAACCGGCACCCATATTGGATGCAGGCACTGCAGATGGCAGCTTCACACATTATGCCACAGCGCCGGCTCCAGCAAATACAGTTTCATTGGAATAGCCACGCCCATCTGTTTGCCTGTTCTCTGAGGTGCTCTGTGCAGTGATGGCAGAGCTGGCAGCAGCAGCAGACACTGTACAGTGTGCAGAGCCTGACATATTTATGATGTGGCCTTTTGCAGAAAAAGTCAGCTGACCCCTGATAAAGAACGGTGCCCAGCACATAGTAAGTGCTCATTAAATGGTAGCAGCTTGGAAAAGGAAAAAAATCCCAAACTATAGAATTTAACAAACTTGATTAAGGAGCTGGGATACCACAAAAGCATTATAACCTAAGACAAAACCCAAAACAGTTGTATCTGTTGTCAGTACTCCCAAAGGGCTGTGATCATATCCTGCCTCGTCCCCAGATGGGTGAGATGGGTCCATCATGCTGGAGCGCCCAGCCTCACTCTCCTGGCCTGGGGTCCCCCTGGACTCTGTCCTCCCTTCCCTGAGGCCAGGTCCCCTCCTCTTTCCTGCTCCAGGATGACTGACAGCGACGGCCTCCAGGTCCTCCAACACAAGCTCCCCTGCAAGGTGTGGGCGGTCCCTCCTTCCACATGGCCCAGACAGGGCGGCCACAGTCGTCCACCCAGGCTTCCGGGGCTCTGCACTGCTGACACTTGGAGCCAGCTCATTGCTTGCTGTGGAGGTGCTCCTGGCTGATGCAGGGTGTTCAGCAGCACCCACCAGAAACTGGCAGCATCCCTATATTGTCACAGCCAAACATGAGTCCAGACATTCCCAATCCCTCTTGAAAAGCGCTGGCTTAGTCTAAAATAATAGCACATGCTACATGTTCTCTGTGTCTCTCTGCCTCTTAAATAATTAATTTTTAAAAATCCAGCTTCTTGGGGCCTGTGTTGTGGTACGGCAGGTTAACCCATTGCTTGCAATTCTGGCATCCCATGTCGGAGGGCTGGTTGAGTCCCAGCTGCTCCACTTCGAATCCAGCTTCCTACTAAGGTGCCTGGGAAGGCCGCAGAAGAGGGCCCCAGTGCTTGGGTCCCTGGCAGCCAGGTGGGAGACAGGATGGAGTTCCTGGCTCCTGGCTTCACCCTGGCCCACCGTGACTGCTGTGGCCATTTGGGGAGTGAACCAGCAGATGGATGATCTCTCTCTCCTCTCTCTCTCTAGGTTGCTTTGCCTTTCAAATAAATAAATAAATAACTCTTAAAAAAAAAAAATCCAGCTTCCTGCAAACCTGTATCCTGGGAGGCAACAGAAGATAATGGCTCAAGTTCTTGGGTCCCTGCCACCCACATGGGAGACCTGGGTTGAGTTCCTGGTCCTTGGCTACAGCCTGGCCTCATTCCTGCTGTTACTGGCATTTGGGGAGTGAACAGTGGATGGGAGCTTGCTCTTGCTCTCTCTCTCTCTCTCTGCCTCTCAAATAATTAATTACATTTTCATTAAAATAACCTCACAGGAGGGCAACAACTCTCCATTCTAGGACAGCATAAATTGACTCTAGAGAAACAGTGTTCTTTGCAAACACATAGACCTGCTACAGTTGCCTCCAGTCGGTACCACTGGATCACTGCACAGAACTCTGAGCGCCCGGACAGAAGTGTCCACCCTTTGGGTTGCTACTCTGGGCTGCTCCAGCCCTGGCAACTGGAAGGAGCTGCTGGCAGCTTTAAAATAATATTTGTCCACTGCTCCATTTACTCTTCCCACCCACCCTTGAAGCGTCTCTTTGTGGGCTCACCCCTGGGGGGTCAGAGCCAGAGCCCTGGCCTCCAGGGGACTGATAATGGAGGGGGAAGCGGACATGTAAACAGGAAGTGACCATGGTGCAAATGAAGCGCAGTGGACACAGATGCAAAAGTAAAGGGGCACAGAGAACTCCATTGTGGGGCTTCTGGAAAGACAAAGGAGTTAGCAGGCCCCGGAGGGCGTGAGTGTTTCTGTACAGGTGCAGTGTGAGGACGGCATCCAGCCACAGGCAGCAGGAGCTCAAAACAGCAGGCGGGAGCACGCGGCTCGGCTTGGAGAGTCGGGGTGGCAGCAGCCGAGTGTTTGAGGCTGATGCCCGGGAGACAGTTCTCCGTGAGTCTGCCCTGCTACGGCCGGCACACCTGTGAGCTGGGGCACCAGCGGCTGTTGCCCCAGACTTTCTTTTCCGGAATGTTGCATAGCACCTTGGAGGACTGAACAGATCTGTTTGCCATCAGTCTAAATGCTGATGTCTTCCTCAGGGGGCAATGGGGGCAGGGACAGGCTTGGCTGCCCCTCTCTCTAAGACTGAGAATTCCTGAGCTTCAGGTATCTCAGCCATAGCGCTGAGCAATTTGTGCGTGTGGGTGTCACCTGGCCCTTATGACATCCTTGTGTGGACTTGGAGCTGGAGAAACTGGCGCAAATGTTATTCTGGCTACTGCTGTGAGTATTAAACCGTGCTTTGACCCTGATCCAGGAGTCTCAGGTCTTCTGCCAGTAGCCGTGAGACTATGGCAGACTAACTGAATAGCCTGCAAATAAGATAAAAGCCTTTGAGTTTCCATGGAGTTTGACAGGCGGTAGGAGAGAGAGCAGAGCCTGCAGAGGTGGGTGGGATCCTGGGGGTCTTGTGAGCTGCACTGCAGAGCCTGGAATTTCTACTGAAAGCTGGAGCAGCCACTGGAGGACTCTCCCCTGAGACACTGCTGCATCTTGGGGGCGTGAGTACGGAGAACGGAGGGCTGAGGAGTGAGTCCGGGGAAAGAGAGGTGGGGCGAGGGAGAGGGGAAGGCCAAGCAAGCAAGCGGCAAACCTCACACGGCCCTCGGCCATTCTGTTTCATATCCAGGACATAATCTAGACAACCCACTGCATTTATTTGTGGTGTCATGGCCTTGACGTTTCTGAAGCACGTAGTCTCTGCCACATACAGTCGCTGCGCCTGATCCCGTAGAAGTCCATCGGTGCGGGTCTGTCTGGGGATTCTCATCATGGGAATCAGGTTGGATGCCCTGGCTCACTCTCCAAATGCTTGCAACAGCCAGGGCTGGGCCAGGCCAAAGCCAGGAGCCAGGAGCTCCATCCAGGTCTCCCATGTGGGTGGCAGGGACCCAAGCTCTTGAGGTATTACCTGCTGCCTCCCAGGACGTGTATTAGCAGGAAGCTGAATCAGAAGCGGAGCAAAGACTAAAACCAGGTGCTCTGATAGAGGATGTGGGTGTCCCCAAGCAGCAGCTTAACCACTGAGCCCAGCTCTCCCCTCGGACTTAGTGTTTTAACATCTAGCACAATTCCTCTGTCAACGGGTTGGAGCAGATCGAAGAGAATCAACATTATTTGAGCTGGGAGAGGTCCTCAGGCCTGGCTAGTTTCCATTATCAGTGTTAGGCTGTTACCACTCCTGCAGCTTGTTTAACTTGCTAGTGGTTTGTTGTTCAAGAACGAAGCACTTCTGTGTACCAGGCTCTGTAGCGGAAGCAAGCTGACCGCCCGATGTGGGGGTTCTTGCTCCTTGGTGAGCAGCAGCCACCTGGAGGACTTGTTCAGCGACACAGGCTGGCGCCACGCCCACAGCATCTAGGTCAGAAGGGGTGGGGGTGAGAATCTGCATTTCTAGTGAGTCTCTTGGTGACAAGGGTGATGATGATGACGACGGTGAAGTCTGTCCAGTGTTTGAGAACTGCGGGACTGTTGGGGAGGAGACAGCACTACTGTCCCAAGTGCAGGTTCACAGTGAGTGAACCCGAAGGCAAGGGGTCCTGAGAGGGAGGAGCAGGAACAAGTGGGCTGTCGCCCACGGACCTCTGGCAGCCTGTGCCCCTGCCTTCATCCAGGTAAGCACCTGCCTTCCTGCCTTCCACAGGGAACCCGGCAGAGGCCAGCGCCTCCCCAGGCAGCAGGACGGGAGAGAGAGGACCACCGGTGGTGGCTGTGTGGGGAGGGCCCCCAGCTCCTCTCTTCTCGCCTCCAGCCTGCACTGCCAACCCTGCACTATGACGGCTGAGCCCAAGATCAAGCCTCCTTGTCAAGCTGACCCAAACGAAAATTGAAATGATACAGAGATGGGAGTTAATAGGTGGATTAAAGCACCTTTAGACACCTGTGTTTATTGAGCTGTAATGTAAAACCCCAGGAGAAACAGTGGCCCTGCGGTGACATCCAGCTTTCAGCTTTCTAAGTCGGGAGTGACCCGCAGCCTCCCAGCCCTGGCTCACAGGCCGGGCCCGC